GTCAGTCTGTTTGGGGAAGCAATTAGGAATCAGAACAGTGCTGAGGGTTGTACATTTTTGCACTCTGCCGGTGCATATGATTTGGGCTAGCCTCTGTGAAGAGATAATCCTAAAATGGTCAAAATGACAGGAGACAAGAACAGGCAATGTCTCAGCAGAGAATGCACGAGACACAAAGCTGGCTAGGAGACGACTTGCCATCAAAAGGTAGACCAAATACTTATCTCCTCTCCCCATCATTGATCCATCAGAATTAATAGCAATGTATCGGGAAGGATTCTTCCCCAGGCCTGATGTTTTCTTACTGCGAATGGAGCACAATTACTGTAACACTGGACTCTCCCAGCTCCTCACTTGCTCTTCCCCTGAGAGAGACAGGAACTTGTCCACGGCACTAGTGAGTGTGCAGGGCTTGGCCCAGCTCTGAGCTTCTTCCACTTTGGCATGAAAGGCCATGAGGAACTCTGCTTCCCCTGGTCTCCATGAGATGTGCCCTAGTGGCTGGTAGAGGAGAAGGGAAGCTACCCTGGCCCAACGGCTGCCTGTGCCATGATAGATAAGTCTACCTAATTCTGGCATTCTGTGTGAGCAAACCAGTCTGGCTAAAAAGCCTGGAGTCTGGCCTCCAACCCAACCCCTAGCAGTAATGAGGTGATAATGTGGCATCCTTCTTTATTCCATTAGAACTTGGTTGCAGAAGACAGTATGCAATAGAAGGTTCTATAAACTATGGCCTGAGCTACCTGCTTGCATAAATACAGTTTAATACACAGCCATACACATTTGTTGATGTATTGCCTATGGTGCTTTCATCCAGCACAGGTAGAGCTGAATAGTTGTAACAGAGACCTAGGGTCTACAAGCTAAAATATTTTCTATCTGTCCTTTTACTGAAAAAGCTTGCCAACTCCTGTTTGAGAATCTAGAAGAGAATGGCAGAAAAGCGTATTGCCTCTAGTGTAATGCTTTCGGGTTCGAGAACAAAGGAAAAGTAAAAGGCAGGCAGGATGCAATTTCAGCAAACACTGCTACACTTCCACATGCTAAAAAGCAAAGTGTCCAACTTAGGAAGCAGGTTCAAGAGAACTGAGCCTTCCTGAGATGTGCAGAAGGAAAGCAGAGGAAAATGAATCACAGAAGGACATCCCATCCCAGCAGTAAAAAGAAGTGCTAGAAAAATGCTTTTCTCAGGGCCCAGAGCAGGAGCAAGCAGAGACAGTGGCCTGCAGTGCACACAGCAGAGGTCTGGGCTGGAAGGTGCAGCAGGTTCCCACAATGGCAAGAGCAGCTTCAACAGGAGTCTGTTGAGGGTGATTTTGCAATCTTCATAGGGCCAAGGGAGCAAATCAATTCCATCATAAAAAGCAGAAAAATCACTGTTGCACCATAGGATTGAGGAAAAGCTGCTAACAAACCATAGGACAGTGGAAGGCTTGTTACGGGACAGAACACACTCATGGGACACTGGACCAAGACACCTGACTCCCAAAGAGGAAATCCAAAATCAAAGGTTTGCAGTATGCAGGAAGGGAAAGAAACCACCTCATATAAGACCTGGAGTGGTGGGTTTGTACTGTGTCACCCCAGCTGAACTGCAACTGTGCTTCCCAGGATTTCCTTCCCTGCTTGGTTGCAGGTTGAGGCAGTCCATGGAGACATCTGCAGGATGCCTGGCTGGTGCAAGTGAAGCACAGAGCTGAACTCTGAGGGCTGCGGGCAGAGGGCATCAGGGCTGCTACAGTGTGTGCACGTCCCCCCTGCTGCTACTCCACCTTTTAGGCCACAGCTCTGACAGCTCCCATCACATCCCCTCTTTCCACTTCCCTAGGTCCCGGCCAGGAAGAATCATGTAGGGCTCTGTGGCAAAGAACGGCAGCTTTGTGTATCACTCATGTGGCAGATTTGCAGGCAGCGAGAGGCAAAAGAGGGGTGCCATTTGTCCCCATGAGTGGCAGCTGGCTCTGGCTTCCCCTGCTTCACATCCTGCTGTTCTTTCTGACTGCTGCCTGCTGGCCTGTGTCAACTGCAGGCCCATCATTGGACACAGCGGCAAAGCCTTCCACAGGCGTTTTCACCAGCTCTCACCGTGGTGTCAGGTCTAATCCTCATAACAAGTCCCCCTTTCCATGTCATCTACAGTGCTTCTGCCTCCCTGGTCAAACCATGATGCACCTGGAGACAGGTGCTGCCTCTGCTGCCAGTATCTAAATGTTGCAAGGTGGCAACAATATCCATGATTCCAGTTTCCCAAAGAAGAGACAATGGGAATGGTGGAATCTCCCTTCAAGCGGGAAGTGCATCATGCCAGAATGAACCTTTGCCTGGACTTCTTTCTCCTGATTCAGGTTAAGTCCACAGGTGATGGACTCTCAAAGCCACACAACACCAGGCTGGCATCCCCTGACTAAATCCAAGGGGTCTCCATGCGCTCACTCCCTCAGACACTGTGGTCAGCAGAATAATCACTCTCCAAAGATGTCCACATTTGATGCCTCGGGACCTATGAATGGGCTCCTTTACATGGCAAAAGGGACTTGCAGATGGGATGAAGACAAAGCATCTAAAATGGGGAAACTAATATGGAGAGAATCCTGGATCAGCCAGGTGGGCACAATCTAATCACATGGGGCTTTAAAAGCAGAGAATCATTTTTGGCAGTGATCAGAGGAAAATGTGACCATGGAAGACTCATCAGAGATGCAACGTTGCTGGCTCTGAAGGCAGTGGAAAGGGGGTCATGAGCCAAAGAACGTGGGTAGCATTGGAAGCTGGAAAAGGCAAAGAAATGGACTGTCCCCTAGAGTCTCCTGAAAGCAACACAGCCCCGGTGACAGATTGAAGCCAGGAGAGTCTGCGTCAGGCCTGTAACCCCTAGAACCATAAGGAAATCAATCTGCCTTGTGTTAAGCTGCTAAATGTGTGGTGAACTGTCACAGCAGCCACAGATGACCAATACAGACTCCACTGATGCCCTGCGGCACCCCCAGTGAGGGCTGGCTTCTGGGAACATGCCTGCCTGGGATAATTTCCCTTAAAGGCTCACAATGGCTTGCTTGCTACATTTGATGGGCAGGGGCCATTGCTCACACCTTTGAACAGTGAGAGGAGGGAGAGCTGACAATGCAATCATGTATCGCCTGAGGCCCGGAAAGTATGTGGCCAATTCCAGTGTGAGGCAGCCCCGAATTCAGGTTGCTGGAGGACCCAGGCCCCACAGAGGCACAAGAATCCCCTTGACTGAGACTGTGCAAAATAAAAAATTGGGAGAAGATGATTTTTACACATTAGCTAACTTAAGAATTGTGGATTTTGAACTTTAACACACAACGGCAAGAGGTATTGATTTTTTGACTTTAATTCCTTTGAACCTTAATGTCTTCGGACTTCAACATGAAAGTGGATTTTAACTTTGATTTTTAATTTCTCCATGGGAATTTGATATTTGGAGGGGTTCATATTAAAATTCGAAGCATCTCTACATTGCTGGCATTTCATTATTGAAAAGTCTGTATTCATTTTTATCTTTGGGATGTTGTTTAATCTTCTCACAGAACCTCTAATGTGCTATGTTGGACAACATACCTGAACAATATTTGGAATAAGAAATAAAACTAGACTTAATTTTAAATCTTGGGAACATAGTAACCCTCAATTTGATTTAAATAATTTGCTCCTCTGACCCCTTTTGGTGCCTCTTGGTGTAATATACAAATTGCCCACCAGGAATTCCAGGTAATCCCCAAAAAGTGCCAACAAGACAGAAGAAGAGCTTTCTTGACAAACTGCTTAGCTTCTGCTCTAGGGAGAGGGGCTACGCCTCTGGGTGATCATAACAAAGAGGATGAAAGAAAAATAGGCTGGGGATGTTAGTGGGAGAAATGCATTCCCTCTGTTCCGGTGTCTTCTTCCCTGCAGGTGCTTCATTAATGTTATACCCGAACTTCTGTGACATTAGCAAGGTCACTTGGCTGACAGACCTTAAAGAAGGCCTCCAGCCTGGCTTTTATCAGCAACAGAGATAATATCTGTAAACATATTTAACATTGTTCAACCTTCAAAAGTGTTCAGAGCTCACTGTATGAGTTCAGAACTCATACAGGACAGAAGATGTTATTTATCATGGACATAATGGAATAGAGAAGAGAATGGAAGGAGTAATTCAGACAAGAAATTTCATCACATTTCTGTAAGATACAAAACAGCCAGGGGTGAGCTGACAGATGGAGCTGAGGGAGAAGCCAGCACAGCCCAAGATACACACCTAGGGGATCCTATCTCAGGGAGGTGGCTGACTGTCCTGGTGGAACCCTAGGAAAGATTTGTACTCAAGAGATGGCAGGAACCTGGGGTGCAGAAATGGGAAGACAAGCTAGAAAGGGGTGATTGAAAGGAAGCAGTCACCTTTCATTCTCCACTTCCACCTAGCTTGAAAGAATAGCCAGCAGACAGGAAAGTACTATCCCCTTCCTCCAGGCCACATAAACAAAATAAACAACTCAGAAGAATCTCCAAATAGATGGACTGCACTGGGGAGAACCAAAAAGCTACTGCGGATATCTGGGCCTTAGAGAAAAACCCTCCTCTTTAAAACACCAACAAGACTCCCCACTACAACAGTTCCCTCCCACCCACTCACCCTGAAGTGAAGCTTCACTGTGAATAAGCTTCACCGACATGCACAGAGCTCAGAGAAACTCTATTCCACTATTTTAAAAATAAGCAGAAGATTGAGGACCACCACAGATTTGAAGTAAGCCTGCAACATCCATGAAAAAGCCCACCATAAAAAAAGAAAAGCTGACAATGAAAAAAAATTGAGATAATTCATGCTAAAGAGATAAAAACAAACTTAAGTTCTAAATAATATCCTTAAAGAAATTCAAAAATATTTTACATTCATAAAACAAAAATAGGAGCTATTAAAAAACACAAAAGATAATTATTAGATTTTTTCTTTTCTTTTCCTTTTTTTTTTTTTTTTTTTTGCAGATAAAGGCTTGTTTTAATAGCTGATCTATGTAGTCACGGAGGCCAGTATGTACAGACAAAGAGGGGAGCTTTTATTTCTTGGTCTCTTCCTCCTTGGACAAAGTCTTGATGATCTCCTCCTTCTTGGCCTGGAGGCGCTCTTCACGGCGCTTGCGTGCTTCCTTGGTCTTAGACCTGCGGGCCTCAGCCTGGTCAGCCAGGAGCTTCTTGCGGGCCTTGTCTGCCTTCAGCTTGTGGCTGTGTTGCATGAGAATACGCTTGTTTTTGAACACATTCCCCTTCACCTTCAGGTACAGGCTGTGATACATGTGGCGATCAATCTTCTTACACTCACGGTATCTTCTGAGCAGCCGGCGCAGAATCCTCATTCTCCTCATCCACATGACCTTCTCTGGCATTCGGGCATTGGCTGTACCCTTCCGCTTACCTATGCCCATGTGCCTGCCCTTCCGGCGGGCCAAGGTATTTTTCCGGCATCGAGCCTGGGAATGGACCGTCACAGGCTTGCGGATGATCAGCCCATCTTTGATCAGCTTTCGGATCTGCTGACGGGAGTTGGCATTGGCGATTTCATTGGTCTCATTGGGGTCTCACCAGACCTTCTTCTTGCCACAGCGGAGGACACTAGAGGCAAGCCTCTTCTGAAGCCTGAGCATACTCATGGCTGCGGCCGCAGCAGCGAAAGGAAAGAGCTCCAGATTTTTTCTTTTCAAAAGATGATACCCTCTTGGGCCCCTGGTAGTGGGAGCATGGAAGTCACAGAAAAATTGGGGGAAAATAAATGTTGGATACTAGAGAATTCTTTCAGAACATATGATTAAAAGGCAAAGGGCTCCAAATTATATAAGAAAATACAAGAGAAATAATCCAAGAGGCTCAAAATCTGACTAATTTCAGAAAAAGAGGACAGAGGAAATGAAGACAAAGTAATTATTTTAAAAAAGAAGAAAATTTTCTGGCACTGAACAAGGTCATGACTCTTTAAACTGAAAATGTTCAATGATTTTTTTTTTTAAAAAGGCAACACCGCATATATCACGAGAGAATTTAATAGTATTAAGTCTAAAATTAAATTATAGAAAATATTCCTGAGAAAAATAATTTTCCATCTAGAATTGTGTATCTAGTAACCATCACTCATGTGTGAGGGTTAAAGACTTATTTTTTCAGAATTTAATCTCCTAAGCATCCCTTTTCAGGAACTTGTAAGAGAGAAAAACAAGAGAGAAGAGGGCACAGGGTCTTGGAAACAGAAGTTCTAATCCAGGATTGCCGTGCAGGTCTAGAGAGCAAAATCCAAATCTGTCCCGAAGACAGAGGATTCTGGAAGGGACTTTTATGGAGAAAGGAGGGAATTAATGATACCCAAAATGAAGGACAAGGTTGAGTCCTCAGCCTGACTCCTTAACTAAAAGGAAAGACCATCTGGATATGCGAAGCATCAGATGGACAAACATACTCTTCTCCTGGAGAAGCACAGTTCTCAAGACATGTGCTTTCACCAAAATAACACTTATTTACTAAGTTCTACAGTTTAATAAAAACCATTTTATTATGATTTGTAAAGCATTCTGAAATCTTTAGTTGGGCATACTCAAAATTTTGGTCCATTATTTCCACATTTAGAGAGAGAAAAATTACATGAGTCAGGCCCAAAGGATGTGAAGCATTTCTAATCAAAGTTTATTTGCTTAGGAGCTTTTCAAGCAACAGCTAGCATACAATAGCTTCGATTGGATTTAACAAAAATTCTCATCATCATCTCATAGTAATTATTGCATAGGAAGAAAATTATTTATTGCAAGACGTAGCAGGCAGCAAAATATATTCTACTGTGAAGAGATACTGCAGTGAAAACAGGCAGCTGTTTTTTTCAGCATGCATGTTTATGTGTTGGATGTAAATGTATGTAAACATCTCAGTTTCAACACTTTATCATGGTTTGAATAGTTTGCCGAGCAATATTCAACACATAATGTAAAGCTTTGCAAGATCATTTCTTTCTTATTTATAATTTGGCACTCTTGACATCATAGGTTCTTCAGGATATATAGCTGGGTCTAATCTAAAATCTGGTTTATAAACTATGCTTTAGTTTTTTAAAAATCACTAAAATTGTTCTTTTGAATATTTGTTTATAATACATCCTAGTCTACGAATAAGTAAGAAATTCAAAGGGAGACCTCACCCTGCCTTCCCATGTAATTTTTCCTTCAACATTTGTTCTCATCCATGAGATAATAGGCAGGAAAGTGATCAGAAAAACTCCCCTGTATGGCGGGGCTCCTGTAACATACTGAGTCGTTATTCTTCGCTGAGTTCTGTATTAAATGCACGGGAGAATTGCAAAGGAAGTAAGGGGTATAGTTGTTATACTTAGATCATCGTTTTGTTTAATCCATGCATGGATATCTGACCTAATTCCTAAACAGATTTGCAGCGGCTCCTTGTGACAACAGATGTGAAGCCAGCCCTTCTTCTTGTACACACTACTCCACCTCTCAGAGTCATCCACTCCCTTGCTGCTCATCTAGCAAGTTCCTAAAATGTGGTCTTGTTTGTCAGGCCCATTGCTTTAAATATTTAGCAGCCAGTGCTGCACACACCTGACCATTCAGATCAGAGCCTCACCCTGCAGTGGGCAGTGGGCACTGGTGTAGGCATCTCTGTGGCGGCACTGTGTGGTCAACTGAGGGCATCCCAGGCTTGGTCAACAGAATCCAAGCTTTGTCTGAGGTGAATTCCTTTTGCCTTATTTTGTTTTGCTTTAGGCGGTGAAGCTGGCTTTGGCTTGATTTACATCATTGAGGCAACGTCTGTGCAGAAGTTAGCTGACTCCTGCAGGTTTCCAGGCCCCCTCAGGTTTCTGTCAGTAAGGAAACTCAGAAGGCTTTGTCTAGAGCCAATCACTAGACTGGCTTACAGGAGCAATTGCTTCCACACTAGAATGTTCTCCTACTCTCTTCCAATTTCCTTTACTAGAGTGGAAGCTTGGCCAAGGGGCTTGTGGATTTTCTCGAGAATCCACGATGGCAACTTCAGAAACCATGAACTTCAGCTTGTCAACATGTTCTGATATGTTTTTCTTTGAAAAAAGGTGAAACTGATGCCTGAAGTTCAGCCAAGCACAATATGAACATGCTTCTGGAAAGGCAGAAAACATCTATTGAAGTAACAACCACTGTCCTTCTCAATGGATGTGGCTATCACGGCATTTCTTCTAGGAGGAGACACAGAGAAAGCCTCAAACTCCCAGCACATGCTGATGAAAACAGAGTGGGTCCAAACATGACAGTGGGTGCAAACCTCCTCCTTCTTAAAAGAAGTGGAGTAAGAGTGTATCCTCTCCGTACATCAAGCAAGCATCATTCCTACAGCCCATGTTTCACCAGGAAAAGAAACAAGAGGTTACGCCTTTGGTTTTCCAAATGGGGCTCACATAGGAATTTCTGATGTTGCCCTGGCACTTGTGAATGGCTGACACCCAGAAGCTGTCAGAAGCAATGTTGAAGGCAGTGGAGTAGACAGTGGTCAGTTCTTTATAGCTGCTTCAAATGTCAGCACAGGATAAGGTATATTCTGCAGAAGATGTCATGTGTCAGGGGTATGGCATTTCCATTCTGTTTTAAGCCATCATTCATCTCAACCTTTGACACGTGGCTGAGTTTCTTTGGCAATCAGGGAAGCCACCACAGAGGGGTTCTTCTAGACAATGAATTTTGTGTTGGAGCAAAATTAAATTTTAGTCAAATCCAATTATTCTCAAATCATAAATGAATCCATACAGTGTACACAGAAGGGCTCTGCTGGTCTTCATTTCTCATGGCTTCATGTATCTGTTGGTGGAGTCTTACTGCCTCCTGTCCCCATCAAATGCACTGAGCTCTTTCTTTTGCAGGCAGTTCCAACTTAAGCAAAACCCACAAATATAAGGATGGTTGTTCATAACCATAATGGTAGGAAATACTTTCAGTTACATAACTCACCTCTAAACTATCATAGACATCACACTGCGTAGATAAAAATACTTTTACTTTCCCTGACTCATGTCTTCCCACATTAGTTTAGTGTGAAATATTGCTTTAGTAGTACGGTAATTCTTTTTATTTTATTTTATTTTATTTATTATTATTATACTTTAAGTTGTAGGGTACATGTGCATAACGTGCAGGTTTGTTACATATGTATACTTGTGCCATGTTGCTGTGCTGCACCCATCAACTCGTCATTTACATCAGGTATAACTCCCAATGCAATCCCTCCCCCCTACCCCCTCCCCATGATAGGCCCCGGTGTGTGATGTTCCCCTTCCTGAGTCCGAGTGATCTCATTGTTCAGTTCCCACCTATGAGTGAGAACATGCGGTGTTTGGTTTTCTGTTCTTGTGATAGTTTGCTAAGAATGATGGATTCCAGCTGCATCCAAGTCCCTACAAAGGACTCAAACTCATCCTTTTTTATGGCTGCATAGTATTCCATGGTGTATATGTGCCACATTTTCTTAATCCAATCTGTCACTGATGGACATTTGGGTTGATTCCAAGTCTTTGCTATTGTGAATAGTGCTGCAATAAACATACGTGTGCATGTGTCTTTATAGCAGCATAATTTATAATCCTTTGGGTATATACCCAGTAATGGGATGGCTGGGTCATATGGTACATCTAGTTCTAGATCCTTGAGGAATCGCCATACTGTTTTCCATAATGGTTGAACTAGTTTACAATCCCACCAACAGTGTAAAAGTGTTCCTATTTCTCCACATCCTCTCCAGCACCTGTTGTTTCCTGACTTTTTAATGATTGCCATTCTAACTGGTGTGAGATGGTATCTCATTGTGGTTTTGATTTGCATTTCTCTGATGGCCAGTGATGATGAGCATTTTTTCATGTGTCTGTTGGCTGTATGAATGTCTTCTTTTGAGAAATGTCTGTTCATGTCCTTTGCCCACTTTTTGATGGGGTTGTTTGTTTTTTTCTTGTAAATTTGTTTGAGTTCTTTGTAGGTTCTGGATATTAGCCCTTTGTCAGATGAGTAGATTGCAAAAATTTTCTCCCATTCTGTAGGTTGCCTGTTCACTCTGATGGTAGTGTCTTTTGCTGTGCAGAAGCTCTTTAGTTTAATGAGATCCCATTTGTCAATTTTGGCTTTTGCTGCCATTGCTTTTGGTGTTTTAGACATGAAATCTTTGCCCATGCCTATGTCCTGAATGGTACTACCTAGGTTTTCCTCTAGGATTTTTATGGTATTAGGTCTAACATTTAAGTCTCTAATCCATCTTGAATTAATTTTCGTATAAGGAGTAAGGAAAGGATCCAGTTTCAGCTTTCTACTTATGGCTAGCCAATTTTCCCAGCACCATTTATTAAATAGGGAATCCTTTCCCCATTTCTTGTTTCTCTCAGGTTTGTCAAAGATCAAATGGCTGTAGATGTGTGGTATTATTTCTGAGGACTCTGTTCTGTTCCATTGGTCTATATCTCTGTTTTGGTACCAGTACCATGCTGTTTTGGTTACTGTAGCCTTGTAGTATAGTTTGAAGTCAGGTAGCGTGATGCCTCCAGCTTTGTTCTTTTGACTTACGATTGTCTTGGAGATGCAGGCTCTTTTTTGGTTCCATATGAACTTTAAAGCAGTTTTTTCCAATTCTGTGAAGAAATTCATTGGTAGCTTGATGGGGATGGCATTGAATCTATAAATTACCTTGGGCAGTATGGCCATTTTCACAATATTGATTCTTCCTATCCATGAGCATGGTATGTTCTTCCATTTGTTTGTGTCCTCTTTGATTTCACTGAGCAGTGGTTTGTAGTTCTCCTTGAAGAGGTCCTTTACATCCCTTGTAAGTTGGATTCCTAGGTATTTGATTCTCTTTGAAGCAATTGTGAATGGAAGTTCATTCCTGATTTGGCTCTCTGTTTGTCTGTTACTGGTGTATAAGAATGCTTGTGATTTTTGCACATTAATTTTGTATCCTGAGACTTTGCTGAAGTTGCTTATCAGCTTAAGGAGATTTTGGGCTGAGACAATGGGGTTTTCTAAATATACAATCATGTCATCTGCAAACAGGGACAATTTGACTTCTTCTTTTCCTAACTGAATACCCTTGATTTCTTTCTCTTGCCTGATTGCCCTAGCCAGAACTTCCAACACTATGTTGAATAGGAGTGGTGAGAGAGGGCATCCCTGTCTTGTGCCAGTTTTCAAAGGGAATTTTTCCAGTTTTTGCCCATTCAGTATGATATTGGCTGTGGGTTTGTCATAAATAGCTCTTATGATTTTGAGGTACGTTCCATCAATACCGAATTTATTGAGCGTTTTTAGCATGAAGGGCTGTTGAATTTTGTCAAAAGCCTTTTCTGCATCAATTGAGATAATCATGTGGTTCTTGTCTTTGGTTCTGTTTATATGCTGGATTATGTTTATTGATTTGCGAATGTTGAACCAGCCTTGCATCTCAGGGATGAAGCCCACTTGATCATGGTGGATAAGCTTTTTGATGTGTTGCTGAATCC